GTAGGGTTCCTTTACAAGCTTTAGGCACAGTCCTGAAAACCTAGCTCATATGAGCAGTCTCTAAGGGAAGCCAAGAGGATCACTTGTGGAATGGTCAAACTCTTTTGTACATATAGGATATTCAGCAACCTCTTGGTTAAAACATCAGCTAGCAAATGTCCTGTACACAGAGGGAGTAAGTAAATGAATAACTTGGTCAAAGTTTTCTCTAACTCTCACCCTACTATTCACATTTAGCATAAGGTTAAAATACCACAACATCCAAAACTCTGCCGCTCATCTGGTCCCGATTCATAAGTCAAACAGGATAAATCTTTCCAAATCTAATCCCTTCACCACCTGCATTTATAACTCTATGCAACACTGGATTCATTGCCACTGGAGTTCTCCCCAGTAACCAGACTGACTATTTCTTAACCACAAATTATGTGTAGCTACCTCAAACTACATATTACACCAAACCCATCATCACAAAAAAAAAAAAAAAAAAAAAAAAAAATCCTGACTTCATTTATTTCAATATACTAAGCAACTGAAGCTCCTTCCATTCAAGAGGCAGACTACAGGCCCAAGATCAGTTTTAACTGTAATCAATCTGATCATTTCTTATTTCAAGTACCCAATCCAATACTTACAAAAACTCACTGTAGACTTACTAAAATCCACTCCCATCCCACTATCCATTATTCAGAACACTTGACTGAAGGCGCGCAAGTACAGCTACTTGCACTCATTCATGCAGGGAATGAAAAGTTAAGAAAAACCCAAGGTACATTAGGAGCCTTAGGAAACAACCCAAATATTTTGTTCACTGAAGTTTGGTGAAAGGGGACTGTACTGAAATACTAATTTGCCAGTTATATTGCCTTTCTTCCACACTAACATCCAAGTTAACATAAACATTTAGAGAATGCTATCAACTGGACATTGATTATAAGCACAGGTTAACATCAGGAGTCAAAAACACCTAATAAACCCTACTCTCTGCATTCACATCCCATCCTCAAGTGAAACTATGCAGTTCCACAAGTAAGAACAATTAAATGACCCCTGCTCTGGGGTGAAGAGATAACAGAAGCAACTACTGGTCTCTACAGATGCCTAACAATACATGTTGGAATTTCTTAGCTTCAGCTCTTGCTACACATCACCTCCCTCTCCAGCTCTGACTTGCCTCCTTTTCGCACTACCATAGCAGCAGAGGATATTTAGGGGTTAGGCAGGTTCTGCTCGGCATGGAGAAACAAGCTGAGCAGCCTGTGCTGTGCTGAGTAACTCTCATACATACCAGAAATGCTGCACAAGCAGGCTGGTACAGGAGGTACTCCAGGTTTACTCCATATGCCTGGATAGGGTGGAGGCCCCAAATGATTTCATTATGCAAAATGTTTAATCTGATATTAGATATCATTATTGCATTAATAGCTCTAACGAGTTCTACTTGTTAAGTACACATTTACATTCAGAGGGCCAAATTCTCAGACAACACTCACAGAGAAATCAAAGGAAATTTTGCTGGGGTAAAATTTCCTAAAAAAAAAAAAAACCTCAGGACTGCAAGACTGCTACATGTAACGTGTATACTATAGACAAGTATATCACAGGGGTAAAACTCTTGGGAATAAGCTACCTATTGCATTTCTTCTGCAATGTTGTGCTTTGAACACCAGCCTTTTTGCAGGAACAAGCAGCTGCTGTGCATAAATGCAGACACACTAACATTCCTAGGCAGCAAGATTAGCTGTGTTTTACCTCCACTTTGTTAATTCTAAGGTGAACATGTGCTCACCCAGCAAGTCAAGCATACATAATAAATTTAGATGAAAAACAAAACAATGCCAATTTTCTACTGGATTTCAAATAGCTAATTACTGCACAAAACCTTCCTGAACTGCAAGCTGAGGTAGAAACTAATCTATGACACCAATATAATATGGATCTTCAAACAAAATCTGTTACACTTCTGTACCTCCATTCCCTAGCCAATTAATATAAACACTAGGCTTTAACATTCACAGAAAGTTAATTTTTCAAAATAAGAACAACTTATCATATATTAAACAAGCATGTGAAAACCAAGCATCAGTCAGGAGGAGATCTAAAAGCAAAGGAAACTGTTAAGCAAATTTAAAATAAGCCCATTCTGATTTATTCTACTCCTAAATTACCATTATTCTTCATCTCAGTGTAATTTGGATACACAGTTCTTTCCCCAGTAACTTGCAATGCTTCTCATAGTATATCGGAACATCCCAAGCCCACTGAAGTCAATAGGGCTGAGAACACATCCACAAGATTCTTCGAAAAGCAAAAAATGAGTTACCAGGAAAGTACAAACGCTCCTTTCCAAAGCAATTCAGTTAAAGAAGCCTAAAGCAGATTTCTATGCTGGTCAAAAGGAAATTTTTTTTTATAGCAAAAACCAGCCTACCCCCATTTTTTGTGGAAGCACCTTGGTACACTATTCTTCAGACACTGAAAACAGGCAGCAGGTCATTTTCCAAACTCTGCATGTTTTCTTCCAATTCAGAAGTATCATAATGAGTAATTTGGTTCATGGCTCATGGTTTCAATTCCATTTAAATTATTGAATCTTTTTCCCCATTGAAACATCACCAGTATCTGAGATTAAAAAAATGCAGACTTTCCCCATAAGCATCCCCATGAAGCGGGACTGTTTAAACAATGACAAATCAACATAACATCATTTGCACTATTTTAATATTATGTATCACATTTCTCTCCCATACACACACCCACACATACCAGCATAAGCTCTAAAAACAAGCATTAGCTTCTAATTTACAGTCTAGATATAACTCACGTCCACATAGAACATAACTATATCACATCAAAACTGGATGCTTAGTCAACTCTATACCAGAGCAGGCCTGTAACATCTATGAAGATTAACAATTAGCACATCTAAAATACCTAATTTCCTAAGCCCTATCTTTATAGAAAGGGTTAGGTTTACATATGGACTTGCACTGATTGGCATATTTACGTATTTGCAGGCAAGACTGAAATCCTGCAGCATCTTGCAACCCATGTGGCTCTCCACCACTAATTTGCCTTACCCACCCAAGCTCAATTTCCCTTTTCCTCCTCACCCAAAGTACACTTCTGCCCAAAGAGTTGTAATACCCTATCATTACATCATTAAGTGAGTGCACAATCCCAAACCCACTATGACAAGGCAACCCTCAGTATCATTTTGCTCCATGATCCACCGTCACACTGGCTAAACATGGCTGCATCATATCCTCTTTGTGATCTCATATGTATGCATTTTCCTTTTTTTAACCTCAAAGATATCCTTGATTTTGCTACCCTTGTTTTCCTAGATTTGCATAAGGGCAAAGATTTTGTTAAAAATTAAAAAATAAATAAATTAAATTAAATTAAAAAAAAAAAAAATCACACTTTAAATCTACTTGTATATGGTTTATACTACATGTTATTGTAATGCTTCAAAGTAAAGCAAAATGCCTTTTCCTTCTTACTTTCCAAAATGACTTCAAAAGCCAAACAGGTAACCTATACAATCAAAACTCTCTCTCTCAAAAGTTTGGAATATTCTCCCCCCACCTCTGAATCAAACACTTCCTTCAAAAGAAAGTGCAGGACACAAACAATAAACAGCAAAAGGGAATTGTATCAGCTTGCTTTTCTTCCCCGCAGCTCCCCCTCCTGAAATCAAAACCCTTCGTATATAAATTCAACTTTAAACTTCTTCTCCATTCCCTTTCAAAGAAAAATAAGACGAGGCTCTGCTTTGGAAGTCTCTCTTCTGCTTTACAATTCCCTTTCTTTGTTTCTGCTTGGTTTGACCCATTGCTTATTTCAACCAAGAAACAGCAAGAAAAAAAATAACCAAACCATTCCAACTTCATCGCTTCCTCAAATCCTCCACACACAATTTTCAATAGACATAAAACTTTACAAAAGAAATCTACTGAACAAAAGCAAGCGTGTCTGGTAGCCTGTGGGGGGAAATAACCCTCGCTACCCTGCCTCTTGGGGCATTACACGGGTTTCAGGGCTGCTTTCATTGTGCTGATCCCAAATCTGCAAACAGAGCGGGCTGCAGACATTTGCTGAGAAGCTGCTGGAGACTTGAGAGAGGTGCATGTTTATCATAATCGTGGGAGATCTTGTCTTTTTTTATTATTATTTATTTTTTCCACGGCAGCTGCATGGAGCCTGCTTAGGTGCCTGGTGCTACAGTGCAGGAGTGCGCTCATGCCCTGCCCTGGCAAACCGTTATGACAATAAATGACTCCAGAAAGCAGAGGGTGGCACGCAGGGCTGCATTTGGGCATCTCTATATTATTCTAGCAAAACACTGAACTTCCCTTGCCTGTGGGGGTTTAGACCCTGCAGAGGGTGCACCCCCACATGGGGGTTTAGACCCTGCAGTGTGGGGGGTTAGACCCTGCAGAGGGTGCATCCCCCCCCTTCCCCTCCCACATATGCAAAGAAATCCCCCCCCCCTCCCGGGAGGGCAGGGCGAGGGGAGCAGCCCTGCAGGGTGGGGGGCAATGTTTAGTCCCTGGGGGGGCTGGCCCCCTTCTCCCCCACCCCTTCCCAGCAGCCAGCTGCCCCCTCCCCAAGGAGGGAATGCACCAAACAGCCCCGCTCCTGGGGCTGGGGCTCTCCCCCTCCTCTCCTGTGGTCACGGCTGCAGCTCTAACACACTGCGCAGGCGTGTGTGTGTCCGCCCCCTTCCCCCGTGGGGCTTGCGCAAGCGCACGTGGCAGGCGAGGAGGCTCGTGCAGGGCAAGGTGCTGCGCTGCCCCCACCACCCTGCCATGTGCACGATGCAATCCGGATTCTCCCCCCTGCCCTGCCCTGATCCGCACCGCAGCGCGGGCGAGGAGCTGAGCCCTCCCCGGGATGCAGTTGCAATCCTCGCAAGCGTTTCAGCCCCAGCCCCTCGCTCTCCTCCCTGCAAGGTGCTTTATCCCGGTCCCGTCCCGATCCCCCGCGTCTCTTACCAGTCCGAGAGCGCTGCCTTTGCAGTGGGTTGGGTTGGTTTGGTTTTTTTTGGTTTCGTCCCCAAGAAACTCAGCTGTGCCTGTGAAACTGGTGCTGTAAGGGGAGAGGGGAAGCGGGGGAAATGGCTGGATGAAAACCAGCGTGAAACACGCAGGCTTCAAATCTGGTGAAGTAAAGAAAACGCCTCTAGAAATTAATCCTAAATCAACCCAAGCCAGGACCGTGTCATTTGTTTCCTCTAAATTGAAGGAAGGAACAGGGGAAGCCATCGGATTGCCTCTGTGAATATTCATAATTGCCTAGGGGATCCTAGCAATTATGGAGCCTTCCAGAAAATTGTACATATTTTCTCCCCTGGAAAGGAAGATTTATTTTGTGCTCATTTTTGCTCAATAGTTGCAAGACTTCACCAGCCTTCACCGTAAGCTTAATCTGATTTTACAATTCCGTTGTCTAACCACAGGAAACCTGCAAGAGTTTTAGATCACTATTTTTTAAATACAGTTGAGCCTGCTCTTAAACTTTAGGAATGCAAAAATCAGTGGGACACCTCACGTGAGGAAGGACTATTTGGCAGGTAGGGTTGTGATCCTTATTGCACACAGGTAAGAAAGCTACTCACCACCATACCAGCTGGACAGGTTTTACTTTAGGCTAAATCAAGACAGTATCTTACCCTTCAAAATATGGGAGCATCTAACTGCCGTTATTAAACTGACATTTGTAAAAGCAGCAGAAGCAAAAACTTGGCAAAGGATTTCAACATCTATAGTACAAATATGCACAAGGTGATATCAATTACTTAAATGTGTGCATATTTATTCTGTCTAGTGTAATACCTTGATAAAATTGACTACAGCAGTCCATCTTGTTTTGGAAAGGGGCAAGGGTGATGATGGTTTTATTCATATTATACCTTTTAAGAGTGGATTTGCAGCGAGTTAAAGCCACCAGGTCACGTTCCTGCGGCAAGTGTTCTGATATCACAACCACATTGATAAGTTTTTGCTTAGGTACTGCTTCACCGCAGACCTGGTCTAACAATGAGTTAGTGGACCCCTGGTAGCAATCTGCTTCACTGATTTCCGGGGTTCTGGCCACAAAAAATACATTCTAGTATCTGGGCTTAGGTTCGTATGAGTACAATTTAAGAAGCTACAACCTGCTAGAGGAGAAGTGCGTGGAGAACATGCACACAAAACAGCCCTAGCCTGATGAACTGTGGGTTTTCCCTCTCTCTTCAACAGCAGCTGTGAGGGAGACAAGACAAACCTGTTAAGCTAGTATGGTTAAGGGAACCTGTCTGTATTCAGAGGAAAAAATTGCATCAAATCCTTCTTTCATGATCCCTCCCCTCATGGTTTAACTAATCTTCTAACAAAACCTCAAGCAAAACTACCAAAGGGGGAAAAAGATGGAAATAACTTACTATTTTCCAGGAACACATTAGTCACTCTGCTTTTACATAACAGCTCTTTACCCCTCCCTTTGCTGGTCTTGTTTATTGAGATAGCAGTATCTGTTCTGAAGAACTGACAAAATACTTTGTCTCCATGTCGCACCTAATACAACTGCTTGGCTCTTCTCTAACCTATTCTAATACAGTTTATAACACAGGAAATTCTGAAATCACCCAGAAAGTGTAAAGCCTGAAGCATTAATAGGTGGCATTAATAACAGGCCTAGTATGAATCTAGTACCAATCCTGGAAGCTCTTCGTGTGAAAAACATCTTTGAACTCCAATTAGAGTCTGGCATGCAGAATGCTCACTGGACTAGTCCCAAAGAAAAGGCAGATCTTTTCAGTTTTCAGGTTAAAAGAAGAGAGGGTGCCTCTTTCCACTGGTATCACCACCATTGCATCTGCTTCCCTTATCATTTTAGAGCCCCACCCCGCCCATTCCCTTATGATAGACACTGGGAACCTGGTTTCTCTTTGAAATCCCTCATGCATTAAAGTTTAAGGAGCACCTTTATACCTTGACATTTGCCTCTACAGTACCTTACAGTGCAAAGTGCCCTGAGATTCGCCATCTCCCAAGATCTCACTAAGGATAAGGCCTTTAACATTACTGCCTCCATCTCAGCAAGTTAACTTTTGGCTCTCAGGGAAAAGAAATCCCATTTGATATCCCCAGCTGTGTAAAATCTGCCTGTCTCTACAGCTCAGGGGCCTTCACCCTTTTCCCAGCATCAACCCTGCTATGAATTCAGCACCCTCAAATTTGAATAAGCTACTTACCTACCTATGATTCACTCCCAGCACTGTTCTATGAAAGAACAAAATACCAAGACTAAATACCAAGAAACGCTGATGAGAGGACCTGTAGCCACTGAGGAAAGCTCATTTAAAACATAATCAATGTACCTATCTAGAGCTACAATGAAACTTATTAATGTACATATACACCAGTATGAGACTGTCTTATGGCACTCTAAATACACAAGAGGCAGTTCCACTTACTTGTAAGAAGCAAACTTAATTATAGCATTTAAATATAAATTATTTAGGGGAGTAGATGACCCAAGAGGCTCAAGAAACTTTAATCTCCAGATTACAGGTTCAAATAAGGGATGGAAATCAGGTAACATCACCAAGGAGGAGTATTCAGCACTGGCTTGCACCTGTAAGGAGCAAACCAGGAAAGCCAAGGCTGAAACCAAACTCAAACTGGCTTCAGGAATCAAGGACAAAGTCCTTCTTCTGATACGTGGGTAGTCAGAAAAAAAACAAGGGCAACACTGGCCCCTTGCTAAACCAAATGGGCAGTTGACAACTGACACCCAGGAAAAAGTTAATCTCCTTAACAATTACTTTGTGTCAGTCTTCCACCAGCCCAAGGGGATCACCCTGCCTAGCAAGATGCAGGATTGCCAGGGTATCGGCAAACACACGCCCATCATTGGCAAAGATCTTGCGAAGGAACACCTTGAGAGGCTGGACATCCACAAATCAGCAGGCCCGACTGGAAAACACACAAGAGTGCTAAAGCAACTGGCTGACATCGTAGCACGGCCTATGGCAAGGATATTGGAGAACTTGTGGCACTCAGGAGAGGTTCCTGAAGATTGGAAGAGGGCCAACGTGGTGCCTATCTTCAAGACAAGGAGGAAGGACGATCCAGGGAACTACAGGCCAATCAGTTTGACCTCAATCCCTGGTAAGATATTGGAAAAAAAACACAAAAAAAAAAATAAAAAAAAAAAAAATAATCAAAGAAACCATTAACAACAGGCTAACAGAATGCAACATTCTGAGATAGCCAACATGGCTTTGTTGCATGTAGGTCTTACCTGACCAACCTAATTTCCTTCTATGACCAGGTGACATACCACCTGGACAAAGGAGAAGATGTTGATATCATTTATCTGGATTTCAAAAAAGCCTTTGACTTGGTCTCCCATTAAGTCCTCATTGTAAAACTGGGGAACTGCAGCCTCAACAACCTTACAGCCTGATGGCTGGGGAACTGGCTCTGTGGTAGTTGATGAAACTGTATCAACACATTGCATGATGACCAGTGACATCCCCCAGGGATCCGTACTTGGACCTGTACTCTTAATATATTTATAAATTATCTGGATTCAGGTATCAGAAGCAGACTGGCTAAATTCACTGATGACACCAAATTATGGGGAAGTATGGTCACACTAGAAGACAGGCTGGCGATTCAGGCTGACCTAGACAGGCTCGCAAGGTAGGAGGATCAAAACGTGATAGAATTCAACATGGAGAAATGCAAGGTGCTCCACCTCAGGAGGGGGAAAAAAATCCACATCATACTTATAGGCTCAGCAGTGCTACACTCACTAGCACCAGGACCGAAAGAGACTTGGAGGTCATGACTGACCACAAGATGAACATGAGCCACCAGTGCACTGCTGCAGCTGGCAAAGCAAGCAAAACCCTGGCTTGCATCTACCAATGCATCTCAAGCTAGACCCAGGAAGTCATCCTCCCACTCTACTCGGCCTTGGTGAGGCCATAGCTGGAGTGCTGCATCCAATTCTGGGCTCCGCACTTTAGAAAGGATATGGAGAAGGTTGAGAGAGTCCAGAGGAGAGTCACATGCATGATTAGAGAAAAGAAAACAGGACTTATGCAGAGAGGCTGAGAGCCATGGAACTCTTCAGCCTGGAGAACCAAAGGCTCGGGGGGGGATTTGGTGATAGCCTAAAAGTATATAAGGGGGGATGCATCAGGAACTGGGAGAACGCCTGTTCACCAGGGCACCCCAAGGGAAGACAAGGTCTAATGGTCACAAACTCCGGGAAAACCATTTTAGGCTGGACATAAGACAAACCTTCTTTACTGTCTAACTCCCCAGAGCCTGGAATAGACTCCCCACCCAGAAGTGGTGCAAGCACCTACTCTGGACACTTTTAAGAAACACTTGGATGCCTATCTTATGGGATCATTTGACCCCAGTTGACTTCCTACCCCTTGGGCAGGGGGCTGGACCCGATGATCTTGCAAGGTCCCTTCCAGCCCTAATGTTTATGAAATCTAGACCACACTGATAAGTACTGAAAGGCTTTACCATCTAATAGCAGCTGTTTAGTGAAATATGCAAAATAAACCGGGAATTTCCAAGTAGATTCTGGGTCCAGAACCAGTGTACAGGGTGCACGTGCACCCCCTATGCGTGGTGGTGCAGCTCCTGCAAAAAAGATGGCTCCGACTGTCAGCACTGCCTGCGGGCAGTCGCTGCTCACCCCCCTGCCACTGGTGGTGTCTGCAGGTGGTCCCCGATTGCCCTGGACGCTGCTGATGCTGCCAGTGGTGCCTGCGGGTAGTCGCCAACCCATGGTCAGCGCTCAACCCCCCCCGCCACCGACAGTGCTGGCAGCGTCTACAGGAGCTCCCCGCTCTCAGGCTCCCACCGCCACCAATGCAGCCATGCCCCACCCAGCCTCCAGGGGCATGCCCCGTTTCATGTCCAGGACACAAAAATTCTTTATAATTAGTTGCAGGATTGTTTGGAGACTAAGAGAGGGTGCAGCGATTGAGCCTACTCACAAAGCTCACAGGGAAGGAACTAATCACACTCAGCCACCTAACTGGTCTTTCTCCATCAGGACAAAGGCTTGTTAGGTAAGAGAGAGGTCTGAATAATGGCACTGGAGCTACTCCCCCTAGACCTGAGTCTTTCAAGCTGTCAGTCTGACATGTCCACAGAAATACATCCAATGCCACACAAAAGTCTCAATTGCCAGGAAAAATTCTGAATTATGAACATTAATGAAAAATTATGAAAAAGCCATAAAAGCAAATTCATTGTCAAAATTGATCTAATTGCGACTGGGCTATAGATGTATTTTCATACTAGGCTTGGAGTTTAAAGGACATCTAGTGGCCAGTTCAAGTTACTAATTGTTGAAATAAACCTACAAGATCACTCTGGATTTTTGCCTATTTAAAAATAATTTTGGATCCCTATCCCAGCTTCATCTGCTTATAACAATATTTCTGTTTACACCATCATCTAGTGAACAATATGAGAAAAGTTGAAGTAAAACTATAAACAGGGAACATCACCAACTAACATTGGTGCCGACTCAAAATTGGTGCAGGTGACATCTTAGCACAATAAGTCTCAACCAGTGTGTTCTGGCACCCTTGGGTGTTTTGAGATCCTTTCAAGTGTGCTTCACGGTGCCGTGCAATGTTAGCACTGTTAAGTCTGCAAACATGATTCACAAGATTAATCCAGAGATTTCAAATAGGAATCTATTGTGTCAAAAACATTTTGAACTGTTGTGACCTTTTTGAGTTTTCTGCAAAAGAAGGATAGCTTTATTATTTTTCTGTAGGCAAAAAACAAGTGAAAACTAAAAGCTGGTATTTTCTGAGGGGTGCCTCAAGTCTCAAAAGGTTGAGAGCCATTGGTCTCAATCACGATATTATATAGACCTAGATCATAGGAGCTTCTTGTAAAGTTTTTTCCTCTATATATTCATTATCCTCTATGCTTTCACTAATTTTCTGTAATGAGTGAAACCAGCAGAGATGCTACCTTGCACAGTTATGTAGATCACTAGAAGATTTAAATTTGCCAGAGCTGGCGATACAACAATCATTGTGACCAATTACAGCAATTCACTTTCTTCTTCAAAGGGTCAATTTAAAAATAATTGTTGTAAGCTGTTTATCAACAGTACAAGCAATACTTCAGAGTATTAACAGTGAAAAAGCCTTAAAATCTAAGAAAAAAGCCAGACTACACTGTGTCATCTTCTTCCTAAGCTTGTGCAGAAACAAAACATCATTCTCAAGGGACATATGGAGTTTTACATAAGCTTTTGTTACATCTGCTACTTAACTGCTGTATCTGCTTCTATACCAGATGCCTAAGGAAGGGTTCTGCAGTATCTGAAAGCTTGTCCATATCTATGTCAACCATGCAGTGGGTCCAATAAAAGATATCACCCACAAGAATTCTTAAAAGCTAATGTCATTCTCACGGTTTATGTTCTCTCTTCGCTTATCTTACTCTCCCTTTGGATAATTAAGATGAGTGAAACCAGTAACATTCTCTTCAAGCCCCAGTTCAATCCTGTTAAGAAACAAACAACACCCAAGAATTATAATAAAGCAGAAAAGCCTTTTTGTTACTTTATGGGATTTTTTAGAATCACAGTTTCTGATGAAGCAATTATTTTTAATTTCCTTTAACAAACCACAGCACATAAGAGTTTTCCTGCTCCCTTACTATTACGTGCAAGTGTTGGGGTTTTTTTTGTTTTGTTTTTGTTTTTGTTTTTTTTTACTTTAACCTGTGGTTAGTTAGTCAGCTAATACCTCAGCTCTTCAGTGAGTGCTGGAAACATTAAAGAACCCCTCTCAAGATGAAAACCAGCAAAAGCGAATATTAAAAAAAAGTGCTATCAAATGCACAAGATAAACAAGCAGGATAAAAAACAGGTATCTTTTAATTCCTTTCACTTACAATAATCTTACGTGCTGTGTACAACACCAGGAGCTACCAAACGGATGAAGAAAGAACAGGCAGAAGAGCCTCTCAAGTTTCAGCATAAGTTGAATATGCCCCGTCTGAAAGATAACCAACTGTTATGACATTTCCTCACAGTTTGAAACCTAAAAATTCACGCAAAGCCCGTAACTAAGCTAGGCATTTAAAAACAAACAACAGAGCTTCAATTGACTGATGCACAGCGTCTAAAATAAAGGAGAGATTGGACCATCTGAGAACAGGTAGATGAAAAGCTCATATGCAACACGCAGAAACGTCCTTCTCTCCCGTAGTTAGTCAGGGAAAGTGGGTTTTCACTTCCACCAACGCACGAGGCCAGCGCTGCTCAACCTCCTGGCTGCAGCAACAGCACGGGGCTGCATCGGATCCCATGTGCCAGGGTTAGGCCCCTGGGCCACCTCCGTCCGACCCCGTATGCTGGGACCAGCATGCAGGCTGAACGAGCACCCGTGTTGGACTACTCCACATGACGCGGCTCTCCAGGCCTCGAACCCGCCTAAGCAAGGAGCTTGAAAAAGGAACCAGGAAAAAGCAACCAATTTCAGCGTCATCCCTCAGACGCCAGTCCCCCTGGCAAGGGGCACACGTGCGTGCAAAATACAGGCTGCAGAGCCAACCCTGGGAAGCGCAGGGGGGAGACTCAGGAGGGTGGCACAAAATTTGTCCAAGGGGCAGAGCCAAGTGCCTAGGGAGGTGAGCAGCAGTGGGGTCAAGAGGCCAAAACACCCTTGAGCAGGGGAGACTGTGCTAGGAAAGATTAAAAAAATAAAAATCGAATTACGTTGCTATTTTTTTTTTTTTTCTTTCAAATGAGAGGAAACCTCTGCCCGCTTCCAAGCAACCACCCCCACATGGAGCCCTCCACAGCTCTCTGCACGGAGCCCAGCACCTCCCCATGCGCATGCGCACACAGCCCTAAAGGCCGCTGAGGAGGGGCGGGGAAGTGGTGATCACGTGGTCCAACCGCCTCGTGCTCACTCCGCCTCTCCCCTAGCGGAGCCCAGGCGCATACACACACTTCCCCCTCTAACCCAGCCGGGGAAGGGAAGCGGGGAAATCACGTGGTGTGACCCTTGAACCCGGAAGTGGGCGGGGAAGCGGCTGGTGATGCTGGAATAAACATGGCGGCCTGCGGCTGGCGCGTCCCTCTGTGGAAGGCGCTGGCGCTGCTGTCGCTCTGGGCGGGATGGGGCCACGGCCGCGTGCACCACCTCACGCTCAGAGTAAGGCCCGGGGTGCGAGGGGGGCCCTTCCCTTTGCCCCTTACCCCTGCGGCGCCTCCCGACCCGGGCGCCCCATTTCCTGGGCTGCCCCTGGGCCCTGAAAGGAAACCCCCGCGCAAGACTCAGCCGCTGAAAGAGCTGGGCCGAGTGTCGTTGTCAGTAGGGGCAGACGGTGACACTGCCCTTCGTGGCCTGGGCCCGCTTGGGAGCCACGGCTGAGCAGAGGCAGGTCCCACGGTGGGTGCAGCCGTGGTTTGCCTCTTCCGTGCTCACAAAACACCCCCTTGAATCCACCTCCTTTGGAGGCAAACCTTAATTGGAGATAACCATCAAGAGAAGAGGAAAAAAAAGCCCTCCAGATAACAGTTCTGCTTTTGTGCCGTTCCTCTTGGCAAAGGCGGAAAACAAGAACGAAACTCGCAGCTGGGTGCGTCCGTCTAAAAACGTTGTGTTGTCATGAGCGTGACCATCGTGGGCTTGCCCGCAATAAGGAAAAAGTCACTGTGCAGGAGGTTGGGTGGCTAAAGAAAGCGGATCGGTGCAAAACCCTGGGAGTTGTGGCTGCGCGGCTCCGCTCCCGGATCAGCCGCCAACTTGCCCCGTGTGGGAAATACGAGATGTGTATGGTATAAAAATACGAAGCGTGCTCTACAAATGTTGCGTCGAGGTTATATTTTTAAGTTCTTCTGATAAATTGGAAGCCTGAAGCAAAATCTGCCTTTGTTGTTTTAACTTTTTCACAAGGCTTAAAATCATGCTTGGAAAAGTCGCAGTTCTTCAACTTGATCCCCAGCGATATCGCTTTACTGTAAACAGGTCTGGACTAATGGTTCTCAACCCTCAGGCCCTGCGTGCCCCAATTAGTGCACTGCACTGCTGCAGCCCATGTGAAATCCTGTTAAATGGATGGACAGGAAATAAATTGTGTGGGTGTGGTCCATATAACACATTGAGCTGCAAGTGTGTAGCTCACTAGGGCAAATAGGTTGAGACCCACTAGTCTAGACTGACTGGACCTCATTTCCAAACTGGAATAGAACTAACTAGACTCTCGCATTCCTTATTTATTTACTTATTTTTGCATGAAACTCTTCAATTTCAGGTCAAGCATGACTACTCAAGGGCTTTCATCAATAAAAACGAAGTATGTCTAGCATTCTGCTTCTCAGTAGTGTGTTTTCCCAGGCTGAATATTGGTATACACAACTTGTGTTCGGATTTCAATTCATGAGGTTAGAACTCATGACCACTGTCAACACATCTTAAGGATTGGATGCAGAGCCTTTTAAATGCTTGTGACTTGCATATGCTGATTGGGTGCCTGTTTGTGGATACAAAACATAGGCTCTTGTTTCTTACTTTCCGGAAGATACTTTATCATTTCTCATAGGGCTGTGAGTATAGTATGTGTTACTCTTTTTCTGAATCCTTGATACCTTCATTGTTTTTCCATTAGGTCACATCCAGTGATACCTTCTTTACAAATGCTGCTGTACAAAATGAAAGCAAATATTGTGGTCCAGAGACTAGTTAATGTGCTTCAAGTGAAGAATTGCTGCTGCTGCTATAGGCTCCTAAATCTGGTAGAAGGGAAGCAGACAGCTTTCATGACTTCAGTATCAAATTCAGTAGAGGGCGGTGCTGGTGACTGAAAGTGGTAGCTTGGAGTTAACAAGGAGTGTGTGAGGAGATAAAAGCGTAGCCTGCATACACTGACCTTTTTGAAACGTCTCTTAATTTTAAAACTTAGAGAAAAGAAGACATTTTTTATGGAAATAAGTATTAATATTGAAAATGTGAATATATGGTTCCATCACTTAAAATTAAGAATTCATTTAGCATGTCAGCTCCATCCTTGGCTCTCCCTACTTAGGTTATGGCTGGGGGAGGGTAGAGAGCATACCCCACTTCACTTTTTTCATAGCCTTGCGATTGAAAGCTGCACATGTATCTGACTTTAATATAAGCAGTGTCCAAAGAGCATGTATGTCAGTCTTGCACTATTAGGAGCTTGAAACTAACCTGCTTCTGTCACTTCTACTAGTTTCAGGGCTGCTATGAGAAGCCCTAGCATTTCAGATCTGTTACAGGAGGCTTTGGGAAGAAAAACTTGCTTGTGGCTCTCAGATGAGCACTTTTTTTATTGACAAAAGGATATACTTTTTCTACAAGACTTGACCTGTAATTTTGTTGTGATGTTTAATGTTTAGTATTTGTTCTTTAGACAGTAAGACTCCAAACTATTGCATTGTTGCCTTGCTGAGCCTGCTCAGTTGCCTGGGTTTTCACTCTCAGATTCTCATGCTGGGCAAGTTAAGGATACTGATAGAACATGGCAGGAATATTGAGAATTATGGAAATTATTTTTAAATAAAGTTAAAGAAAAATAGAAGTGCTTATCGCCCTTTGAAGGCTTAGGTTTACAGAGGAAGTTGACCACTTAAAATCCTCCCATTTATAATTAATCTGGTTTCCAGCTCTTCTGTGAACACGTGGCTCCTACCAGCTATTTAACTTCATGATTCCTGTAATTACGCCTATGCTGTTTGCCGAGATAAAGACCACTTTTTTGGATATTTCGCTGTTCTACTTCCTTAAGCAAGTCATTGTCACATAGCTTGTTAGAAAAGCCAGATACTGATGTCTCAATAACTACTTTTCATCATAACACATTAGTTCCTGCTGTTGGAGCCTTCAGTTTTCTAGTTGAGACTGTTGATATCTTGGTTCCTGTTTTTAGAAAATGATATCTTTTCTTTTGGCTGATTCATTAAAAACAGTTTTAACTTACAAAGCCAGTCCTATCTTTCAAGATAAATGCACACTTTCATTATTGAAATGCTAGTCTACCTTAGTAGTTTCACTCGGAGAAGTTTTCCTTTGGCATTCCTACTTTGTCTGTAAATGCGTGTGGAATCTTTGGTAGAGTAGAAACCCTCTGAAAATACATGGTTTATTGTTTGGAACACATGGAAATAGTTATTTCCAGAACTGTTTTGAAAATTAACACTTTTTCCATTAATGGAAATACTGAAGTGTAGAGTGCTATTTCCAGAGAATCCATTTAGGTTTTGTTTGTACTTTAGATTTTCTGTATCATGAAATACATTTCATCAACTATTAAGTGGTGTCTGGGAACATACTTGAATTGTTCTGTAAGGACAAAACATCACTTTTTAAATAAACCATAGATGGATAAAAATCATTGTTTTTGACAAGTCTTCAAAATATTTTGTTAATTGGCTGGCACAATATCAGGAACTAAAATATCTCTTGCATGCCTTCTATTGAATTATTTCAGGATATGGGAAAAATATCTCCAGATGAGGCCTTAATATGTCTCGGCAGGGGGGCAACTTTGATCAAAATTAGGGCTGAAATAATTGGCTTACCATCTTCATAAGACCTTGGAAACTCTCTGGTACACAAAGTAGGATAGTAGTTCTGTGATGTGGTGTTAACCCAAACCTAATGTAACAGTTGTTTAAATAGTTGTTAATCAGTGTAACTTACCTTCAGGATCATTGCCACTTACTGGCTCCCAAGAGGCAGCCAAACCTGTCCTCCTTGACATGTTTTCCAGATTGTATTTTCAGACTTAATTACCTTATTTAATTCATTGTAAGAGACCAAATTTTTAGCAATTTGCTCTGTTACTCTTTCTAGATATTTATTCTTACCTGCAGCCTTTATGTCATGTCTCTTAACCAGGTTGCACTCAAATGTTCAACTGAATACTTTCCCGATCATTATAAGCTCCTGGCCTGTTTTCTAGACTAGGCAGGGGTTTCAGGCGTGCCCATATCTCTGGCAAGATACAGTTTTGTACTTCTTACATTTTGCCTAAGTTTTGATATCATACAGAACAGTTTCATGGCCCATCCTGGGCACTGCTGCTTCTAGAGGCTTCATCCCTTCAGTGCCTGTGTTTGGGGTTGACATTAGGAGCTTGTCACCTTCTATAGCTCTTTCCCGTGGCCCTGTCAGCCTTTTACAGGGAACAGTTAACAGCTTACCATGTGGTCTAGTAACTAAAGGGCTGGTTGGCTCTAAACTCTATGATTATTAAAGTTGCCGGCTACCCTGTTGCATCCACTTTATGAATTATGGGTGGATGGTGGCTGCTCTGAGCTCCAAATCCCTCATTGTGGCGCACTTAACATTGGATTTTGCTTGGAATTCGATGATACACAATGTGCCACCTTTTTTCTGGTCCTAATAGTTTTGTTTTAATTGTAAATACGGGACTGTATTCTGCCCTTGTTTTATAGTTGAGTAGCCTCATTTAAATCAGATGATGTGTAATTGGTAATAAGAACTTATTCAGTGAGTCCTCATCCTTTTGAAAAAGGCAAGATAAATATTAATACATCTGTGTCTTTAAACTGTTGATGCATACCGAGTGTGTGGGTAGTCTATAAGTGTTTACAAATAGGCCACAGTGACACATTGTGTCAGATCTTCAACCTGCAAACCTGTTAACTGGGTTTGTAAATTGTGCTAGTAATTGAAGTTGGTTAAGTTGGAGGTAATTGTTTGTCCCTACCATAGTCAATATTTTGACCCTCTCATTTAATGTGTGTTAGATGACATAGTACAGGTTACAGGCAGACAGCGTTATTTGGGTAAATGATGTATTTTATTAGGCCAACTAAATAGTTGGAAAAATGTTCTTTGCAAGCTTTCGGATACAAACA